GTAGTCAATGTCACTGAACTGTGCATGCAGAAATTTTTGAAATGGTATATCTTTGGCTTTGTGTATTTTCAACAAAAAAAAAAGCTTGAGAAGTTAGAGGGTTGGTATGTTGTGGGGTTGTTAACCAATGTCATAAAACAATATGTGTACTACTGTTTCATGAGAAATTATTTGTTCTGTAAGCCTTCACCTGAATAAAAAAAAAAAAAAAATCAGGGTTTGGAAGCAGACAGTGTAGGCCACCTTGGCGATGTCACTCATGAGCTATGGACCTTGAGCAAACTGCTTAACCTTCCCCAGCCCATTTCCTCCTCTGTAGCTCTCGTAAAAGTGGAATCAAATGAGACATGTTTAAACACATAGATTACGCTATGCTAAGGCATACACGAAAAGCCACCTCTGTGAAATGACCCCAAACTCCCCAAAAGAACCAAGCTTTGTGTACTCTAGACTCCTGGTATTTCCCTAGCAGAATTTACCACATCCTATCTGATTTGTAGGCATGGCTTCCACACAGCCACACTCTGCTTCCCCTGGATTTCCAGCAATTCCTTGAGAACAGATCCCACGTTCTACAGACCAGAGAATCCCTCTGTAACACGTGGCACAGCGTCTTGCCTACATGGTTGTGAACTGTACACCCAACAAATTGACAGGTAAGCAATGACTATTCCTGGTGCGGGAGAGGGGAGCAAGGTCAAAGGCAAAAACTTCAAGCATCATTAAGTTAAAAATCACAAACATGGTGTAAAGGAAGTGCTTATTACCAACCAAGTCTTATAAAGCCCACGTCCATCGGGCCTTCTGTGGCCAGAAGCAGGGAATGATTAGGAACGGCATGGGTGTCTCTGCCCAGCAAACACCACTCACATACCTGGGATCATTTTGATAGCTGTGTTCACTTCACTCCATTTGTGCACCTGGTCAAACTTCCAGTCCAGGATAAAATTCCCATTATCCGTCACCACAGGACCCTAGAATATATTTTCCATATTGACCAATGATGTAATTCCAGGTAGGCAGAGAGAGAGACAGGAAAGAGGAGGTGACAATCAAAAACAAGTATCCTTATAACTAACCCGGCTCCAACCAGCACTCCCTCTGCCTTGTGCTTTCTACAAGGCAGTGCCGTGAAACAATCATGAACAGAAGCTTTGGAGTCAGAAAGATCTGGATTTGAGTCTTGAGGCCACAGAGCTGTGGATCTCAGAGGAAGCACCAACATCTGTGAGCCTCAGGTTCCTCAACTGCAAAAGGGGATAATGATACCGACTTCCTAAGGTAGCTGCAAAGGTTAAACGACATTGCATGTATAAGAACTGCCACAGTGAGCGCTCACTCAACAATTCTTAGCTATTACAGTAGTCCCCCCTTATCCGCGGGGGATACATTCCAAGACCCCTCGTGGACACCTGAAACCGCAGACAGTTGAACCCTATATATACTATGTTTTGTCCTATACATACACACTTATGATAAAGTTTAACTTATAAATTAGATTCTGTAAGAGATTAACAACAATAACTAATAATAAAATAGAACAATTATAACAATATACTGTAATAAGTTACGTGAATGTGTTCCCTGGGCAGGACAGCACGAGATTTCATCACACTACTCATTTAACATTTTCAGACCGCGACTGGCCATGGGTAACTAAAACTGCAAAAAGTAAAAGCGTGGGGGGGGCTACTGTATGACGCTATGTGTCATAATCGACTTAACAGCACCCAACAACATTATAGTGAAAAACTACAGCACCAGAACAGACTACCAACACTGCACGACAGTCTCGCATCTTTAGACTATCTTCAATCATGTGAAATCAGACAATGCTACTGCACCCATCACAACACCCCCTAGATCGGGCCACATCATCAAAAAGACGGAGCAGCGAGAGGCTCTGGGGTCAAACAGGCAGGGGCAGTTCTAGTTCATCAATCCAGAATTCCCAACAGCTCTGGACAAGTTGTCCACCCTGCAGAAAAGCGGGCTGATAACTTAGGAACACAGGTGCTGATGGCTCAGGAGGAGGGGTGGGAGCTCAGTTAAGAACTCTATGAAGGAAGGATATTGGGGTTCTTGCTGGACTGACTCCAGCTATGAGAGAACCTCAATCTCCTCCCCCACCCCGCCTGCCGATCTTTCAGCTACAAAATGAGCACGGTCAGAGCTCTGTACAACCACTATGATCAGGACTGCCTTTTGAAAGTCACAAAAACAAACGGGGAAGAAAACATGCCAAGATACAAATGCATCAGTGTAGAACTACAGATACTTTATTTTCTATATCTTTCAAAATGTTTATATAGTTATCTCTATAGTTAGTTTGGGGATTATTACTTTTGCTTATTTGTTTATCAAATGCAAGAAAAAAAAATCTGTGCAACCAACTTTAGAAGCTGAAAAGAAACATCTAGGACTAAGAGTGTCGAGTGTACTCCTGGGGAGGGGTTCACATCCCCCAGGAAATCTTACTTCTTTTTACATTTAACCATAGAATGAGAGAAAAATTAAAACTACATCATGGAACCTAAAAAATGCTCTGCCCTGGGGGCTTCCCAAAGCCTGTGTTTAGTGCTACAAACCAGGGTAGTCCAGGCCACTGGGAGGAATCAGGTTTGAAGGTCAGATGACCCTGGGGCTTCTGAGGGAAAGAAAGAATGTTTCTCCCATTTGTACAGGGGATATGCACTGTATTAAATACGGTCTTACCAACATGAATTGGAATACAGAAAGTAAAAGGCCAGCTCTCTAAAACAAACTCATCAATTTAAAAAACCAACCTCCTGGTCTAGGCTCAACAGACCTAACAGGAGCAAAAAGGAGGACACCATGTTGAGAACCAAGATGCCCTCCAGAAACCTCTCTGGCCACTTACTGCCTTGTTGACGGCCATTCGTAGTTCAACCACACCCCCAAACTTCTGGGTCACAGCTCGGCTCACAGGGACGTAGGCCATTGGGATGACTTCAATGGGGATTCCCTTATGCCACTGATCCCCAAGGTTCTTTGAATCCTTCCTGAAAATAAAAAGTCAAAAAGCACACTGAAAATAAATATGCTTAATGGGACAGATAAACATTAAACTCAAGAATGGGGTTAATTATACAGTAGGAGGGCACAGGAAGTGATCAGGGACAAATGCACAAGAAAGGTGTTGGCTGTTTCACTACTTAAGAAGAGATATTTGAAGTAAACATGACAAAAATGTTAAAATGTGACATAGCTGGCTTGTGGGTATACAGGTATCTATTGTATTACTTACACCTATCCTACACCTATAACATTTCATAATAAATAAATACATATATACATACATACATATATATATATATATATATATATATATATATATATATATATATGTTGTTTAATCAACATGCTCAACACAGATGTCATCTACCAGATGCCTGGTCAAAGAGTGCCCACATGACAAGTCCATGTGGCAAACTCTGACCTCAGCACGGCTTGCCCTGCTTCCTCTCAGGATCCCTGTGAGGATCAAACAAGTGACACGAAGACATGCTGCTGTCGCCATCCCCTTCCAATCTGCATATGAAATACAGCTGAGGTTTCAGAGTGACAGATGATCGATTAGCAATATCTACCTTCAGCATGAAAGCAGTACATAAATCATCCTAGACTCTGCCCTAAGTCCATCAACCAGTCCTCAAGATCTCAAAAAGTCAGACAGGCCCTCTATTTCTTTATTTCCTCTTCTCTAAAATGGGGATGAGGCTTGGGGCCCAGTCTACCTCCTCTGTGGCCAGTTGAGAACACCGAACGCCATACCTAAAATCAGCAATCACGATGAAGCGGCTGGCATAGCCGGCCACAATCTTCTCCTGGGTCAGGCAGCCTCTGAGAACGGGAGGAAGCAAATGAACACAAGATTGATTAAAAAAAACTCAATTTGGGAACTAAGGTCAGATACAGGAGATCCAATTCTGGCACTTAAAGAGAAATTTAACTTCTTATTTTTAAAGGGATATCCCCAGCCCCATCATGCTGCTTCCATTAAATGGACTACAGCAAGGTTGGCTTGTATCTGGGAGACCTAGAAACTGGGCAACAGTTACCAGTCAGGCCAGCCATACTCCCATCCACGACGCATCCGAGAGGAAGCACCGTGTGTAGGGAGATGTCATCTGGACATGGCACGCGGCTATCAATCGCGAAGTCAGGAGAAGTTTGGAACAACCTGCCCTATCAGCTGTATGACAGTCAAGGTGATGAGGTGGACAGGGCAGGACCCTGAGTCAGGGTCTGCTGCTTACTGGCTAAATTATTTAACGACTACAATCGGGAAGATTAAACAATGCATATGAAAATATCCTATAAACAATAAAGCGATTGAAAAAAAAAAATTCCAGTCACTCAAAGGTCTGCTTGAGTATAAGAACCAACAGGACTTCACCTTTTTCAACTTACCATATCCCCCCAAATCCAGCATTTAAGAAACACTCAACAGAGTCAGAACCAAGATGGTGGACTAGTCAGACACACTAAGCCATCCCGCTGCAACAAAGACCAGAAAAACCAAGTAAACCAGATACAGACATCAATCCTGGAACCCTGAACCCTAAATGAAGGGATAGAGTATTAGACTGGAAGTCACTAAGGAGAAGAAGAAACTGACAGAAAACAGGGAAGGAGTAGAGATAGAGCGGAGGTACCTGACCACACGACACGACTCAGCATTGTCCTTCTGGAATAAAGCCAACAACCCTACACGCAGAAAGGCACCTCCAGGGAATTCCCAACAGGAGACAGAGGTAGGATGTGGATACATCCAGGGCTGGCTGCAACTCAAGGAGAAGCCCAGATTCTCTCACCTGGTAACCACAGGAGCACGCTCCTACAACCCCCACCCCTCTGGTGAACAATGGCTGTAACTGTTCCATTGTGGCAACCCAAGTACCAACTCTACTGCCCTCCTCCATCTAGCCCCCTCTGCCTCTGCCTTCCACCCCTCTCCTACCTCTCTTCTCCGTGCCACCGGACACAGCTCCGAGGGGACCCAACCAGAACCCCAGGTCCCTTCCCACCGGCTCTGCACCCTCCTGCTGCCACCGCGGACCCAAAAGGACCCGGCCCAGGCCCCAGGCCCCTTCCCGCCGGATCCAGATCCCTCCTGCTGTTGGCCACAGCCCCCAGGGGACCAACACTGGACCCCAGGCCCCCATATATAGAACACTCCACCCAACAGCAGCAAAGTACATGTTCTTTTCCAATGCACGCGGAACATTCTCCAGAACAGACCACATCTTAGAGAACAAAGCAACCCTCAACATAACCCAAAACACTGAGATAATACACAGCATCTTCTCTGATCACAACGCCAAACAAGCAGAAATTAACAACAGGAAGAACAAGGAAAAAAAAATCAAATACATGGAAATTGAATAACACCTTGCTTAAAAACCACTGAGTAATAGAAGAAATCAAAGACGCAATCAAAAAATTCTTAGAATCAAATGAGAATGAAAACACATAATACCAAAACCCATGGGACACAGCTAAGGTGGTGCTCAGAGGTCAATTTACAACAATAGGTCCACACATCAAAAAAGAAGAAAGGGACAAAGTCAAAACATTAGCCCTACAACTCAAACAAACAGAGAACAGCAAAAGAGGCCACAGCCACCAGAAGAAAGGAAATGAAGAGAAGAGCAGAAATAAATGAAATAGAGAATAGAAAAACAATAGAAAGAATCAACAAAACCAAAAGATGGTTCTTGGGAAGGAGCAACAAAATTGACAAACCACTGGCCAAACTGACTAAAGAAAAACAGGAGAGGAAGCAAGTAACCTAAATAAGAAATGAAATGCGGGACATTACAACAGACCCAACTGAAATAAAAAGGATTATAACAGATTATTATCAAAAACTATATTTCAACAAATTTGAAAACCTAGAAGAAACAGACAAATTTCTAGAAACACATTACCTATCCAAACTAACAGAAACTGAGATAGAAAATCTGAACAGATCCCTAACAAGAGAAGAGACTGAAAAGGTAATTTAAAAAAAAACAAAACAAAAACTCCCAACAAAAAAAAAGCCCTGGCTCAGATGGCTTCACTGGAGAATTCTAACAAACATTCAGAGAAGAGCTCACACCAGTACTACTCAAATGATTTCAGGACACAGAAAAGGAAGGGATAGTTTCTAATTTTTTCTATGAAGCCAGCATAACCCTGATAACAAAATGAGGCAAAGACACCACATAAAAAAGAAAATTACAGACCAGTATCTCTCATGAATATAGATGTAAAAATTCTCAACAAAATTCTAGCCAACAGAATTAAGCATCATATAAAAAAAATAACACACGACCAAGTGGGATTCATACCAGGCATGCAAAGATGGTTCTACATTAGAAAATTAAACAATGTAATCCACTACATAAATAGAAGAATCACATGATCATCTCAATCGACACAGAAAAGGCATTCGATAAAGTCCTCCAACACTCATTCCTGATAGAAACTCTCAATAAAATAGGAATAGAAGGGAAATTCCTCGACATAATAAAGGGCATCTATACAAAACCAACAGCCAACATCATTCTCAACAGAGAGAGGCTAAAAACACTACCCTCAAAAATGGGAAAAAGACAAAGATGCCTTTTATCACCACTTCTATTTAACATTGTGCTAGAAGCTCTACACAGAGCAATAAGGCAAGAAAAAGAAATACAGGGCATCCAAATTGGTAAGGAAGAAATAAACTATCCCTATTCGCAGATAACACGATACTATTCGTAGAGAACTCTAAAGACTATATGAGAAAACTACTGGAATTAAAAGAGAGATTCAGCAGAGTAGCAGGATACAAGACAAACATATACAAATCAGTTGGATTCCTATACATCAATAAAGAGAACTACAAAAAGGAAATCAGGAAAGCAATACCATTTGTAATAGCCCCTAAACAAAAGTAAATACTTAGCAGTAAATCTAACCAGGAACATAAGAGAAAACTACAAAACACTACTGTAAGACACCAAAAGATACCTACATAAATCGAAAAACATACCATGCTCATGGATAGGTAGATTCAACATTGTGAAAATGTCAATTTTACCCAAAGCAATCTACAAATACAATGCAATCTCCATGAGAATAATGGCAGCATTCTTTAACAAGATGGAAAACTAATCACTAGCTGTATATGGAAAGGAAAGAGCCCATGGCTATGTAAAGCATTACTGAAGACAAAGATCAAAGTAGGAGGCTTCGTATTACCTGACCTCAGAACCTACTAAGACAGCTACAGCACTCAAAACAGTCTGGTACTGTACAACTACAGATACATTGACCAATGGAACACAATCGAGAACCCAAATGTAAATCCATCCACCTAAGGCCACCTGATCTTTGATAAAAGCCCGAAGTCCATAAAAGGGGGAAAAGACAGTCTTCTTAACAAACAGTGCTGGCAAAACTGGGTGTCCATCTGCAAAAAATGAAGCAGGACCCATACCTCACACCACACACAAAACTAACTCAAAATGCATCAAAGACCTGAAAATAAAACCCAAAACTATAAACATTATGGAAGAAAAAACAGTCAACACTAGAGGCCCTAATACATGGCATAAACAGCATATAAGCCATAATTAACAATACACAAACACTAGAAGATAAGCTAGATAAATGGGATCTTCTAAAAATTAAACACTTTGCTCATCCAAAGACTACACCAAAAGAGTAAAAAGAGAGCCTACAGACTGGGAAAAAATTTTTGGCTATCATGTATCTGACAAAGATCTAATCTCTAAAATTTACAAGAAAATCTAACACGTCTACAACAAAAAGACAATCCAATTAAAATATGGGCAAAGGATATGAACAGACAGGTCACCAAATAAGGCATTCAGGCGGCTAACATATACATGAGGAAATGCTCACAGTCATTAGCCATTAGAAAAATGCAAATCAAAACTACAATGAGATACCAACTCACCCGACATTACTGGCATGAATCACAAAAACAAAGTAACAAATGTTGAAGAGGTTGCTGGGAGATTGAACTCTTACACGCTGCTGGTGGGAGTGCAAAATGGTACAATCAGTTTAAAAAACAATAGGGCACTTCCTTAAAAAGCTAGAAATAGAAATACTACACGATCCAGCAATTCTGCTCCTAGAAATATATCCTAGCTATCACACGAATAGACACGCACACCCATGTTCATTGCAGCATTGTTCACAACAGCAAAAAGATGGAAACAACTTAAGTGCCCATCAACAGATGAATGGATAAACAAACTATGGTACATATGCACAATAGAGTACTATGCAGTGATAAAGCACAATGACGAGAATCTGGAAGGTATTACGCTGAGTGAACTTAGTCGCAAAAGGACAAACACCATATAAGAACACTATTACAAGAAATCAAAAAAAGGTTTAAACACAGAAGAAAACATTCTTTGATGGTTACGAGGGTGGGGAGGGACAGGGGTATTCACTAACTAGAAAGTAGACAAGAATTATCTTAGGTGAAGAAAAGGACAGCACACAGTACAGGGGAAGTCAGCACAACTGGACTAAACCAAAGCTAAGAAGTTTCCTAAATACAACCAAACACTTCAAGGGACAGAGTAGCAGCGGTGGGGGTCTGGGGACCATGGTTTCAGGGGACATCTAGGTCAACTGGCATAAAAAGTTATCCCACTTTGGTAAGTGGCATCTGGGGTCTTAAAAGCTAGTGAGCAGCCATCTAAGATGCATCAATTGGTCCCAGCCCACCTGGAGTAAAGAAGAATGAAGAACACCATGGACACAAGAAAAGTATTAGCCCAAGAAACAGAAAGAGCCACATAAACCAGAGACTTCATCAGCCTGAGACCAGAAGAACCTGATGGTGCCTGGCTACCACAATGACCACCCTGACAGGGAACACAACACAGAGTCCTTGACGGAACAGGATAAAAGTGAGGTGCAGAACTCAAATTCTAGTAAAAAGACCAGACTTAATGGTTTGACTGAGACTGGAGGGACCCCAGAAGACATGGCACCCGGACTCTCTGTTAGCTCAAAACTAAAACCATTCCCGAGGCCAACTCTTTAGACAAAGATTGGACTGGACTATGAGACATAAAATGATACTCATGAAGAGTATGCTTCTTTCTTAGCTCAAGTGGGTGCGTGAGACTAAACAGGCAGCTCCTGTCCAGAGGCGAGACGAGAAGGCAGAGAGGGTCAAGAGCTGGTTGAATGGAAACAGGAAATCCGGGATGGAAAGAAAGAGTGTGCTGTCACAGTATAGGGAGAGCAACTAGGGTCACAAAATAATGTATGTATAAATTTTTGTATGAGAGACTAACTTGAACTGTAAACTTTCACTTAAGCACAACAATAAAAAAATAAACAAAAATGACGAATCTGCAAAATATCTCACAACATGGATAAATCTGGAGGGCATTACGCTAAGTGAAATAAGTCAATCACAGAAGGACAAATAGTGTATAACTATTATAAAAACACATGAAAATGTTTCCACACAGAAAGAAACAATCTTTAATGGTTAGGAGGGAGGGGAGAGGTGGGAAGGGAAAAACACAAACTAGATAGTAGATAACTTTGGTGAAAGTAAGACAGGACACAATATTGGGGAAGTCAGCGCAACGTGACCAGGGCAAAGTCATAGAAGCTTCACAGACATTCAAACAACCTTGAGAGAGCGAGCTGCTGGGCAACATGGTCTCGGGGGACATCTAGCTCAACTGGCATAATACAGTCTATAAAGAAAATGTTCTATATCCCATTGTGGTGAGTAGCGACTGGGGTCTTAAAATCCTCTGAGTGGCCATGTGAGATACATCTACTGGTCCCATACCAGGTGGAGCAAAGGATAATGAAGAAGAGCAAACACACAAGGAAAAGATTAGTCCAAAGGACTAATGGACCACAACTACCACAACCTCCACCAGACTGAGGCCAGAACAAATAGATGGTACCACCACCAACTGCTCTGACAGGAATCACAATAAAGGGTCCCGGACAGAGCGGAAGAAAAATGTAGAACAAAATTTAAATTCACCGAAAAAAAAAAAAAAAAGACCAGGCTTGCTGGTCTGACAGAAACTAGAGAAATCCCAAGAGTATGGCCTCTGGACACCCTTTTAACTCAGTAATGAAGTCACTCCTGAGGTTCACCCTTCAGGCAAAGATTAGACAGGTCTATAGGGCAAACAATGAGGGATGTGCTTCATAGTTCAATCATGTATACGAGACTAACGGGCACACTAGCCCAAAAGCAAAGATGAGAAGGCAGAAAGGGACAGGAAAACTGGACGAATGGAAGCAGGGAACCTAGGGTGGAAAAGGAGAGAGTGTTGACGCATCGTGGGGCTGGCAACCAATGCCACAAAACAATTTGTGTATTAACTGCTTAATGAGAAACTACTTTGCTCTGTAAACTTTCACCTAAATCAATAAAAAAGATACAATGTTTTCCATATGAATAAAGAAATGCATTCCTAACTGCATATAGCTTTAAAACAAAGGTCACACACTGGTGCCAACAGACTTAATCCAGCCCAGTGATGTTTGGTTTAGTCTGTATGGTTTTTAAAGTTTGAATCTGCTGGAGCAGAATGGTGACTTCCTTTCAGACGGGTGGCATGTTTCAGTTCACCACAGTCTCCCCCACTTCCTGGGTGACACCCTGTCTGCTTCACTGACTTAGACTGAAGCACAAGTAAAGAGAACACCGTGGAGATACACAAAGAACCCATTAAGAACTCGAGGTTTCTAGTCACCAGGTCACCGCTAATAACCAGAAATGCCACCCTGGCTCTGAGGCCAGATGCTAACAATGTCCTAGTAGAAGACAAGCTCACATACATCACTACAGTAATTTGTTTATTCTGTACTCTAGTTTGTTTTGCTAAGGATTGACTGGCAGACATCCTTTAGCAAGGAAGTCCCCACAAAACTCACCCACCGCCCTTGATAAGATTGAGGTCAGCATCTACTTCATCAGCACCATCAATGGCGAGGTCAATCTGTGTTGGGGGGAAGGAAAGAGAAAAATCACCAAGAGCCTCTCAAGGGGAGGCTCTGTGCTAAGCTTTAACATGCAGTAACTCATTAGATCCTCAAGAACCTTATTAGGTAGTAGGTAGGTATGGTGATCCCCATTTAACTAATCGAGAAGCTGAGGCTCCGAGAGGTTAAGCAGCTCAACTAGGGATCCAGGGAAACAAGGGCAGGCCCTGGGATTCAGACCTGGCTGCAGCTCTACCCACAATACCGCAATCCCTTATCTTTGGTGGCTCCACTATGGGCAAGCTGGAATTATGTCAAGTATGCATTCTCAGTGTGGGTGATATCATCCCCCAAGGGCGCAAAAAGTGGGTCTTGGAGGAGTAAAAAAAAGATGTAGACATTACAATGATTTCTGGTCACAAGTACATAAATAGATTAAACACCTGTCTGGCCTTGTCCACTCCCTGTTAGAAAGCTCCACCGCCAGCCCAAAAGTGTTCCCAGGGGAAATGGGTTCATTCATCTTAAAGGCAAGGAAGTTATGTATTTCTCATCACTCATGGTACTCTGCATGGGTGGGCAAAGTAGGAACCACAAGTACAGTTTTTTAAAACAGTATAAAAAAGCTCAGAGCAAATTCTGTTCCAAGTTGCAGTTACTCAGAAGTTGCTCTGTGGCTGGGGTGGCACAGGTATGAAATCTACAAGTTCTTATCGGGCAACCTTGTTTCCATCCTTTCAGGGATTCTGATCTTTGTGTGAAGTCACAGTCCTCATTGCTCCGCCCCCTCCTGCACTAACCCCAGGGCCAGGATGAGCTGGGGTAACTCTCCAGGGCCTGGAAGGCAAGGGGGACCTTTTCTGTCTGGGCTTCAGGCCAAACCACTCTCCTAACAGTCGCTGAACAGCTGATTCAACCTATGCCCCGGCTCTGCCTTTCCAGGGTTCTAACTAACCCTTTCTTAACCATGGCAACATGGTTAACTCTTTGCTGGCTCAAGTCCAGACCCTTCAGCCTAGTTTTCCAGCTGCCATACCGAGCCCTCCTCTTCCAGTCCAACCTTGCACCCCTCTGAACCTATGCACCAATGCATTCCACCCACTGTGTCCTAATCACCCCCATCAGTCTGGGCGCTGTTCACAAATGCCCACGTGCCTGCCTGGAGCTGCTCCAGTGATTCCCATCTACCTCCCTCTGGCATGTCCTCTCCTGCCCTTGCCACCTGGTCTTCAGAGCTCAGCTTAAACTTTATCTCTTCCTTCTAACTAGTAACAGTCTACAGTCAGAAGTTTAGATTCCAGCTCTGCCACTTACAAACAGCATGGCCTTTGGCAAATGTGCTTTTTTCACATCTGTAAAACCCAATAGTAATGGCACCCACCTGAAGACTGCTGGAGATTAAATAGGTTAATACAGGTGCAGCGCTTAGCACAAACCTGGTATGCAGAAAAGGCTCAGTAAGTGCTAGCTATGACGATGAGAGATGCTGCTTACCCTCATCCACTTTGTATCCTCTGGACCGCCTACGTGTTTAAATAGTCTTTACCACAAACTTAATTTTAGTTTTTCAAATATCCATGGCTACTTCAAATGATTATTTCTTATCTCCACTTAGTGGGAAGCTCTGTGGGCTAGCTGTCAGGAAGCTCTGGGTCCAGCCTTGAGCTTGTCCAATGCCCTTCACTGTGCGCATACTAAGCCCTCAGGGTGAAACCACAGGGAATGTACTGGGAACTAGCCACCTCTCCCCTTGCTACCTCAGCCAGAATTAGTACTCAGGGCCCAGGAGAAGAGCTACTATGACTGAGTGACCTTTTCCCTAGATCCGATGAGACACCTAAGCCCATAAGCAAGTGAGAGCCATAAAAAAAGTCAGTTCGGCCAGAAGGAGAAATGAAGTCTTGATACATGCCACAATATTGATGGAGCTTGAAGACATTATGCTGAGTGAAATAAGCCAATCACAAAAGGACAAATATTGTATGACCTCACTTACATGAAAAGATAACAAAAGGCAAATATACAGAGACCAAAGTTTATCAGTGGTTGCCAGGGGCAGGAGGGAAGGAGAAAAAGAGGGTTAACAGTGATGGAAAAATCACATTGATTAAGGGTAGGGTTGCACAACTGATTATTATAATTGCTGTCAATAAGATGTACACCTGTAAAAAGCTGAATTGGCAAAAGCTGTATGACAGATATATTTACAACAATGACCAAAAAAACACAAAAAGAGTAGCTGCTTAGGCTGCTTATGTACAACCAAAATCCTCATGGGATTTGGCTCCTTAGTCTGGAGGTTTAGGGTCATGGTTTCATGGGGCATCCCCGTTAACTGGCCTACTAATGTGTTTAGTGCTTCTGTTCTACCTCCTAGTTTGCTGCGTAGTGCCTGGGATCTTAAAAGCTTGCAAGCGGCCATCTGAGGCACAGCTGGTCTCTATTCACCTGCAGCAACAGAGGAAGAAGGATAGTCAGGAACAGGAGGATATGAATGTGTGGCTAACTGCCTCCATGAACAACTGCCTCCTTTGCCATGAGACCAGAAGACCTGGATGGTGCCCAGCTACCATTACTGAACATTTTGATCAAAGATTCCAAAGAAGAATTCTGATCAAAAGGGGGAAAATGCAGAACAGAATTTCAAAATCTCATGGACTCTAGACTTTCTGGAGCCAAGGAGGTTGGATGAACTCCTGAAACTGTCCTGATATAATCTTTAAACCTTAAACCAAAAATATCCCCTGAAATCATCTTAACTGAACAATAGTTCAGCTTAACTAGTAAAAAAGGTCTGCCTTAAGCATTATGCTCTTTTAAGATCTATATGGGATGAAACTGACAACAGCAACTTAAAAGATTAGATAGGAAACTTAGGGGGAAGTGAGTTGATATTGATGAGGGAAAAACAACTCAGAAAAGGAGAACGAGAAGGGCTGCACAACTCGAACAATGTAATTAGTGTGACTAAGCTGTACACATAGAAACTGTTGAACTGGTGTATGTTTTGCTGTGTATATTCTCAAGAGTCAGAAAGACATAGCAGCCTGACTCTCTTACCTCTGGGTGTCGGTCCAGGTCACTAAGGGTTAAGCCATATTGCAAGATGAGCTGACGGGCCTGCGGGGGACACAAAAAAAAGCATCCATGATCACTTACTCTGAGCACATGATGAGAACACTCAGAATTCTTTGGGGTTTAAGTTTTGAGAACTGAGTTCTGACTCAGGCTCCCTACCAAGACATAGGAGATCTAACCCCATGAATGCCAACTGGTAATTCATCCTGGGAGCTGGGAGAAGACTGACACCACACAGTGAAGGCTCCGCTCCAATGCTAAGCTGAGAGGTCCTCCTCAGTGACCTGCCACTTAAGTCAGTGCCATGGCCTCTACAGCATCTGGTAACCCAAGTATTAAAAACAAGAACCAAATTCACAAAAGATTAGCAAAGTTTTTTAAAAACTCCAACAAGATGAAAAAAGGCTGAAGAAAATCTCTACAAATTGATATGGAGTGATTTCCAGGTTACGCTGTTAAGTAAAATTTAGCAAAGAATATATATACTCAAAAAAGAATATGGAGGTGGGACTTCCAGAATGGCTAAGTGAGGAATTCAGCAAATCCTCTCCCAAAAAGGCAATGATAAAACTGAACAGAAATTCTGAGTAAGGTTAGGACAGAGGAGAGCACCAGGCTAGCATGCTTGCAAAAAAAGTCAGCATCATTTACTTTATAGACATGCCTCAAAGTTAACCTTTTAAACAGGCTGACAAAAGGGGAGAGTAGGGGTTATCACTGCCACAGGGCCCTGAACAGGAGTCTTAGCCAGAATAAAGGCACCGTGAACCTTCGCGTTTGACCAGCCAGGTCAAAGTGACGAGGTTTGGTGTTCACGTCACTGCTTAGGATGTACAGAGGAGGCCAAAGATGAAAAGTGTGATCCTTGGTAAGTTTTCTCATTTACACAACAATGGAGAAGGATGAAATGACCTAGGTCAACCTTCTAATCCCAAATCCAAGAACTCTAAGAATAAAATACAAAGACCCTCCAATTTACATTATATGGGCCTTATTTGGATCCTGATTCAAACAAACTGCAAAAACTATTTTTAAACGATAATGCAATAGGATAAATGTGAACACTGGATATTTGATGCTATTAAGGATTAGTGTTCATTTTTCAGTACTGTTGTGATGTTTAAACGATTTCCTATTTTCCAGAGAAACGCAATGAAATACATACAATGAAATGAAATTATGCTTGGGATTTGCTTCAGAATAACAAGTGTGGAGGGGAATAGGGTACAGATGAAACAAGATCAGCCATGAACTGGTAACTTATGAAGCTGGGTGACAGAAACCCTGGTGGCATAATGGTTAAGAGCTATGGCTACTAACCAAAAGGCTGGCAGTTTGAATCCACCAGGCGCTCCTTGGAAACCCTATGGGGCAGTTCTACTCTGTCCTATAGGGTCGCTATGAGCTGGAATCAACTTGACGGCAACAGGTTTTTTTTTTTTTTTTGGTGGGGGGGTGACGGATATATGCGCGTTCATTATATCGTTCTTTATTCTTTTCTAAATTTGAAATTTTCCACAGTAAAATGCTAAAACAAAATGCTGACAAAAAGCACGTTCAAATTAAAAATAAGATAAAAGATTTTGATTCTTACTCAAGAAAAATATATAATGAAGTAGAGAAATAACAATAAAAATGGTATTGCTGGAATATTTTTCAGTTCCTAGATTTCTCAAAAGTAGTACTAGAGAAGCCATCCTCTAATTCCACAGGCTGAGGAAGGCCTGGTAGCAGCCTCCAGGATGGCCCCCAGTAACCCCACCTCATGGTCTTCATGGCCTTGTGCAATCCCCTCACAACGGGGACGCAGCAGAAGTGACACAGCAGAAGTGATGGTATGACACCTCTGAGATGCAAATGTGGCATCAGCTTGGGGAGGGGAGAGAGGCAGGCCTAGCGCGTGTTCTCTCTGACCACTCTCTCTGGGACAGACCAGCCACCAGTCCTAAGGCCACTGAGATAGCCCTGGGAAAAGGTCCATGTGGTGACTGTGTGAGGCCCTTATCCACCAGCCCGTGCAGAGCTGAAGCCTGCAAACAGCCACATGACTGGGCTTGGAAGTAGATCCTTCAACCACAGTTGTCTTGGGATGACTGCAGCCTTGGCTGACAGCTTAACTGGAACCTCATGGGAGGCTCAAAGCCAGAACCACCAGCTAAACTTCTCCAGATTCCTGACCTCCAGAAACTATGTGAGCTAATACACTTGGTGTTTTAAGCCACTAAGTTTTGGGATAATTTGTTCTATAGCAACACATATCTAATACAGAACGTGTTATATAAATTCATACAGTTTAGTATAATATCCTATCATGGTGAATAAAACTGAGATGCACTATGATTTCCTATTAACTTTATACATTTTGGAAACAATATTGAACTGTGTACACACTTACTCCATAAGAACTGGATGTCAAGAAACTGTTCTAACATGATTTTTATGAAAAATCCGGTGCAATACATCATTTTCAGTTAAGATAACATTTCTTAAGTTCAGGGACTTCTTGATGGTACTACTGTTTCATGAAGATGTCCTATTAGCCCAATTACGTTATAATCAAAGTGTGAGAGAACACATTTTACATTCTTTTGTAATCCTCTGCACCCATACAAACCAAACCTGTTGCCATCTAGTTGATTCCAACTCATAGTGATCCCATGTGTTACAGAGAAGAACTATTCCATTGGGTTTTCTTGGCTGTGATCTTTTACAGAACCAGAGTGCCAGGCCTTTCTTCCACGATGCTACTGGGTGGGTTTGAACCACCAACCTTTCGGTTGGTAGAGGAGCGCTTTGTGCCACCCAGGGACACCCCTCTGCACTTAGCATCATATTGAGCCAATAGTTGGGTAAATCATCAATCCAGAGTGCGATCTGGAAGGAGGGCCCTAGTACGACCTCATTTTAAGGAAGGAACGGATGCCCAGGGAGTTCGCACAGTGAGGAGTCAAGCGCAGAGCAAGGACCGGAAACACAGTCTCCCGCTTTCCCGTCCTATCTAAGGACTAGGAAAAGAACTGGAAGAAAAGGAAACGAGCGGGAACGGTAGGAGATACAGAAAAGGAGGGCGGCCCTTGCTTATAAACGGAAGTGAGTCATTTTAGATAATGATGCCATTAATAACAATTGTAAAAGGCGTTCTTTGAGGTCTTGGCATTCCCTCCTCTACCTGAAATACCCTGACTTCTCCCAAACCCCAGATGAGCCTCGTGGCCATCTCAAATGTCATCCTGGGGGCAGGCAGTAGGTTCTCCTTCTAAAAGGCACATTAGCTCAACTTCTTCTGTACCATGCATTTGTAAACAAATAAATACCCATATAAATGTAGCATTACTTCACGGAATGAACACGTACAGAGTGCCTACTAAGAGCCATGCACCACGCTGGACGCTAACATGTTGCCCCAAGTCAATTCTGACTCAGCAACCCCATAGGACAGCTGATGGGTTCGGAACCCAACCTTTCAGTTGGCAGCTGGGCACTTAAGCACTGTACCACCAGGGCTCCTTTGCTGGACACTACAGTGATAGACACACTTCCCATGCACAAAAAACCTCTATCCCTATAAAAATATATACACCTTAAATAAACACTCCACCACTCAAAAGTCAGTTTGTTAACTGTGCTCACACAGAACCTGTACAGACTAAGAGGCAGTCATTTGATAGAACAAGGGGATGCCACGTAGTTTAAAGTCAGGAAAGGTGTGCAACAGGACTGTATCCTTTCACTATATTTATTCAATATGTATGTTGAACAAATAATCCGAGAAGCTGGACTACATGAAGAAGAATGGGGTATCAGGATTGGAGGAAGACTGACTAATGACCTGCCATATACAGATGATACAACCTTGCTTGCTGAAAGTGAAGAGGACTTGAAGCACTTACTGATGAAGATCAAAGACCACAACCTTCAGTACAGATTACCTCAACATTAAGAAACAAAAATCCTCGCACTGGACCAATAAGCAACATTCTGATAAACGGAGAAAAGACTGACGTTGTTAAGCATTTCCTTTTACTGGTATCCACAATCAACGTCCATGGAAGCGGCAGTCAAGAAACCAAATGACACACTGCACTGGAAAACTCTGTTGCAAAAGACCTCTTTTAAAGTGTTGAAAAGCAAAGATGTCACTTTAAGGACTAAGGTATGCCTGATCCGATAGCCTCATATGCATGTGAAAGCTGGACAATGAATAAGGAAGACCAAAGAACTGATGCCTTTGAATTACGGTGTTGGCGAAGAATATTGTATATACCATGGATTGCCAGAAGAATGAACAAATCTATCTTGGAAGAAGTACAGCCAGAATGCTCCTTAGAAACAAGGATGGCAAGACTTTGTCTCACGTACTTTGGACATGTTATCAGGAGAGACCAATCCCTGGAGTAGGATATCATGCTTGGTAAAGTAGAGGGTCAGTGAAAAAAGAGGAAGACTCTCAGTAAGATGGACTGACACAGTGGCTGCAACAATGGACTCAAGCATGACGACTGTGAGGTTGGTGCAGGACCGGGCAGTGCTCTGTTCTGTTGTACCTAGGGTCACTATGAGTTGGAACCAACTCAATGGCACCTAACAACAACAAACGAACACTATGTCTGACTGAACTTTGTCTCCCCGCCACCACCACCAGCTGCCCATCCCAGTACCTGGCCTACCGCCTGGGACTGAGAGAGGCCCAGAAGGTAAAAGCTATGGTCTGTAGCTGGGAGGCCTGCTGTGATATCCTCCTGCTGCACTCCTAATTTCTAAAAGCCCTGGGACTCTCCCATCTCCCCAGACAGACAATAAGCAACAACACAAGGACAGAATCTGTACTCCCTTTAAATGGTTCTATATCCCCATTCCAACTATGCCAGACACAGTTGAGGATAGCGTTACTCTATGAGTGAGCTTCTATTGTGCAGCATCTACCCCAAAACTCAACGGCTTGAAACAGCAAATATTTATTATTTCTCACGATTCTATGGACTGACTGGGAAGTCATCTGGGCTGGCTGGTCTAGGATGGTCTCACTCACAAGTCTGGAGCTGCTCCCCACGTGGTCTCTCATCCTCTGGGAGACTAGTGCGAGATGCTTCACATGGTGCAGAACGGTTCCCAGCAGCAAGATGGGCCAAGCCCCGATGCACAAGCATTTTCAAGCCACTGCTTCAACAACTCACTGAAAAAGCAAGGCAAATGGCCAAGCCCAGATTCAAGGAGACACTGCAAACTGTTGCGGAAGTGTTTTTCCCATCTATGACACATACTATTAGTGAAAATAAGTAAACTAAGTGCAAACTTACATCCAGAACATTGATAAGCACCTTTCAGCCTTCTTTACCCACTTAGCTCCCAGAACACGGGTAGCCATGTATACTCATCCCAAAAAGGAGTTTGGCTGTCATCTCTGGGAAATGTGACCAGCCAGAGGAAAGAAGACAAATGTGCTGACGCCAGTTCACCAAGGTAATAGCTTAGCAGACAACCCTAGAGTGAAGACCACCCTTTTCCTGAGAACTAGCTTCCAGTCAAGGTCTTAGCATACTGCTCTTCAAAAGAAACACAGCTAAGGAGTACCAGAATAAGAAAAGCATAAATATAATAAAGTATGATAAAAACAATCCAACAATATTTTAACCGTGTTGGTTGTTACGTGACTGTATGTGTTTGTCAAAACTCAGAACTATACACTAAAAAGGGTAAATTTTTACTCTATGTAAATTATACCCCCAACAAACAAACAAAAGCAATTTTGAGAAAACAGACTATACAAAGTCTTTTAAAAAAAAACTATCATTAATATTCTCAGGGAGATAAAAGAAAAATTTTTAAATCCTGAACCCATAAAACAAGAACAAGATCCTACTTAAAAAGAAGTTTTTAGAAATTAAACATAAGAGGGGAAAAAAAAATTCAACAGAAGGGTTGGAAAAAGACAAAGCTAAAGATCTATCAGAAAGACAGTACAAAGTAGGCTAGTCCACGAACACCAAAGATGGTCCTAGAGAGACCTCAGAAAACAGGGGAGAAAAGCAAAGAAATAATAATAATAAATCCCCAAAATTGAAGAGCACTGTGGTGGATTAATTACTTTTGTACGTGGCCTTTCTAAGCAGGGTCTTGTAACTCCCACTCAGGTGACTATGTGATAGGGTAATTGTGACCTACCAAGGGGATTCGTCAGTTCTGCCTTAAAAGAGAGCCAGAGCAGAGAGGAGGAGCCCACCACCACCAAGGAAGAACAGCCAGGAGCAGAGAGCCTGTAGACAGTAAGCTGAGTGCCTTTGGGGAGAGGCCTGGCCAGGGAGAGGCATGCCTGGTGAGCATGGTCGGGAAGAAGCTGTCCTGATGGAAGAGCTGTATCTGAAGTGTTCCTGAGCCTGAACTGTAGCCGTTACTTCCCTAAGAAACCCCATAATCTCGAGTATGGTCTGTGAGTTCTGCGTGGCCGTTACAATGAATTATCGAACTCAGCACAGAGTACAGAATGCTGTGCGAAGGATGACTGGTGTCAGAATTAGTAAAGATGGCAGAGAGGGGAGGCTTGTCTGGCCTCTACGTCATGCGAGTCAGCTTGCGCTGCTGTCTTGGTTCTCCTTCCCCCTCGTGGGGTCGGAGGAGGTCAGACACTGCCTCCAAGTCGTTTTTACAAGCATAAATTCACAGAACGAAACAACCCGGCAAGTGCCCAGCACAGTAAATGAAACAATGAATGAAAACAAACCCAGACCAAGATACATCATGGTGAAAATTTCAGAACACTAGAAACAAAAAAAAGATAATATAAGGGTATAAAAGTTCAGGGAATAAAAAATAGGTTTCATACAAAAGATCAAGAGTCAGAATGGCATCAAGCTTCTCAACAGAAAAACTGAAAAATCAGAAGACGGCAGAGAAATGTCTTCAAAATTCCAAAGAAACAATTTAACACAGAATTCTCTACGAAGCCGAATGACTAACCACAAAAGAGGGTAGAATGAAGACATCTGCAGACACCCAAAGTGTCAACAAATATGCATCCCATGCACTTGGGAAACTACCTAGAGGATGTGCTTCACTAAAACTAAGAAGAAAACAAAACAAAAGGGTGATGGGCTGGCGGGGGTGGGCTTGGAGGAATAGGATAAAGAAACAGGGAGATCCAGAACATGAGAGAAGAGAAGGTATTTCTGGACCATGAAAGGAGATCTCATGACAATAGCTGAATGCAGCAGCCTGCAGCACTGCTGACCTCAATGCTCCAGAGAGACTTCTCCAAGAAGATGGAATTGATGGAATGGAACACCACTGTGTCTGAAAGAACTGAGATTTCCCCAACTGGGTAAAAGTGTGGGGCTGAATTAGTAAGAAGTACACAGACAACCAGTCAAATGAAAAAACAAGGCAACAGATACCTAACTTTGGGGAAAACAAACTATTGGACAGGTAAGGAAGAGTAACCACAACACACTTACGCGGTTCAGCTGTAGTCTGCCTTCACAGTTCTGTAAACACTGAGTAATGGCCTATCAAAACGTAACTATACTGTGAAGGCAAGGAGGTCAAGGACAACCAAATGTTCATCTTCCATAGTTCAGGGTTAGAAATATTACCTAAAGTTGGAAAAATATACAGCAAAAAAACCACATAGTTCAGAGATATGGAGCAAATATCCAATCAACTAAAAGAGTTAAAAGTATGTCCCCCTTAAGAGCAAGAAATGGTAGTGGGGAAGGTGCTTCGATTTTTTTAAAAAAGACCTGAATTGTTTGATTCTTTAATCCATGTGTATATGTAACTATGATTCAAAATAAAAACCAATATTAAAAAATTTATTAAATAAGAAATAAAACACTAGATGATCAAGTCACTTGGAAATATCAGATACTTAGCTTTCCAAAAGACCAAGAAAACCCAAAAGTCACTCTGACTTAAGGACAACAGGATTTCAAATACAAAAGAGGCAATGTAAAACCACTCATTTTCTACTGCATGAAGCAGGAACTATGGTATTGTCTTCAGCCCCCTGGATGTCCACCCACCTTGCTCAAGGTCCCCCAGAGATTTAACGTCAAAGAAGCTCTGCCAGTACACAATATCCTAACCCCTAACTCCCTATCCTGTCTACTTGGAGTCCCTACCCCCACACGCTAGTCTGAGGCTGGGCCATAAGCCTGGCTTAGAAGGAACCTCATGGCCCCTTAACCCATTTCTTCCTTCACCAGAGTTGGCTACTAGCTGCCAGCACTCTGCTCCTCCAGCCTCCAGGAACAGCAGGGTTTCCTAAGGCCTGGCCTCACCGTCCAAAACTAAGTCCACAAAGTCCTAAGAGCACCAACCACCTACACAAGTCCAACCTGCTCTCCCAGTTCAGGTCACCTTAATTAGTCCAATAGAAGACTGGATTATACAAACCCCTCCCCAAATGGCCATACTCAGAAAGGGGAACAGCTCTATCTACGCTGAGCACCTCTTTTCCCTTCCATTTCCCTAAGTCTACTCTTTCCTCATCTTCCCCTATATTTAAGTGGCTCCACTGCTTTCCCCTACCAGCCTTTACCACTTTATGGTGAAAGAGCATTAGACATGGCATCAAAATACTGTATCTGCATTACTGACAGATCATGTAATTCCTTTCAGCCTCAGTTTTTTCATCTCTAAATGGGGACAATATTCCTCGAGGACAGAAACCATGTGGTCATGTCTGCATAGTCCATGGTGCCTAATACAACATACACTAAAAAAAATTCTCTGAGTGAATAAATAAATCAATCTGAAACCAGACTTCCAAAGAGCAATCCCCAATCAACAAACTTCTCTGCCACTTCTGGCTCTTTCGCCTACAACAACCCTGGTGCACAAGCCTAAGCCACACACCCATGTCTTCAGGGAACCAGGAAGCTACGCAGCAGCTGCCCCAAGTGCAGAATGGAAAGGAGGCCATACCTGGAAGGAAGTGGGAATACAGATGAGCTTCAGATTCTCCTGTTTCACTCTTTCAGCTGTGGAGACAAAAGCCGTGTTGGTGGTTTTTCACTCTCCTCTCTTTTATTTTTCTGATCACATGTAAGGTTTGTTTGATACCAAAAGTAAGAAAAAGGTGTAGCTTCCACTGACAGCCAGCTGCCTTTCATTCTGTGTCCCACCCTTGGGAAAAAGCTGGTGACCATACTTCACTCACATCACAAGACGGGGTGCTAAAAAGCCTAACGAGGTAAATACTCATCACAGGAAGAGCCAAGTGTTTGCTATTATGATGTGCCTGGCAACAGTCTAAGAGCTCTGTACACATGAAGTCTTTTAATCCTAACCACCCGAAAAGTGAGTTATGAGTATTGTCCCCATTTTACAAATGGGGAAACTGAGGCACAGAGAGGTGAATTAACTTGCTCGTTATACAGATGATAAGTGGCAGAGCTGGAATAATCCCAAGCAGTCTAGCTACACAGCCTTAACTACTACCTTATATTGCTTTTTCTAGAGAATAACTAGAACTTTACTTCTGCATTTAGTAAAAAATAGTAATCATTTGTAAGCCCCAGAAAGTGATCAAAAGGGATTTATTTATTCATTTTGGATTTGTACTTTTCAAGAAAGCTTGATTTTATTAAAACAACTTAAGGAAAAAACCATCTTATCATGTCAGCATCACAAGGACAAAGTGTTCACAGACTTTGCCTCCCAGCCCTGCCCCTTGAGATCAGCATTCAGACAAACCTCTCCTCTGGGCTTTGTTCTTACAAACAAGGGCAGGACAGTCAAACCTGTAGAGCAGCCACAGGGGTGGTAATTCCTAAGCCTTTCCTAAGCACTGAGACACCCTAATCAGAATGAAGTTAGCACCTGCTAGAACCAGCCACCAGTTGCAGGAGCCTCCCCTCACCTCCACTCCAGGGTCACAGACAGGCCAACACACACCTACTCTGACCTCAATCTGTTTGCCTAAGATTGCCTGAGAAACCTACAGGCTCCCAAGGGCCTGGCCCGGGGTCTCTGCTCCATACAGAACAGGAGCATGACACCTAGACAATTAATTCTGTTGAGTCCTCACCTATGTCAGCTCCTCCCCTCCAGCTAAGCAAAGTCCACAAAGCCAAGGGTATCCACCCAAAGAAGGTTAAAGAGGCCCAGGAATCCCTCTTTTCAGAGTAAAGCAGATACACTCAACTGACCTCATGGTAAGCAGGCAGCCCCTCTCCCAGCTCTGCACTGCTGCAGCCAAGCTGGGCAGGTGCCAACCCTGTGCCCCACTTCCTCCCCCTCCTCCACCTCCCAGCCCCCATCATCCCACACAGGGTCCAGTAGACAGACCTGGAACATACCTATTCGCTGCACTGCATGGACAATTGTAGAGCCACTTCCAATTCCCAGCACTTGGTTATTCTGCCAAAGAGGAGGAAAAGCAAAACGTATTAATACCATATTAATACTCCCGTTTCAGCTCACTTCCTAGAGTTATAAAATTATTCACCAACACAAGGGCAAGGCAGGTATGTGCTCACGTTACAGAAAGGTAACTGCTGAATCTCAAAGCCATACTTTAACCTTGTGCCCAGTGGGCAATTTATCAGCAGAGCCCTCCCCCATTCACCTCTGACACTGCTGCCACCACCACTTCCTCCATACACTCCACCCAACAAGACAACTGGCTTAACCACTTATAGCACACACCTCACAGACACGGTGTGCAGATGAATGCTGAAAGATTCTTGGCCAACCCCAGGCGGCAATCTGACAGGGAAGGCCCTAGGAAAAGGCAACAGAGTCAGGGTGCGCCCTAACAGCAGAAAGCTGGGGTTTCTGGCTCCAGTGCCTCTTCCAAAAGCTTAACCTCTAGAAGGTAAGGGACCGACCACATGCATCTTCAAGGTGGTGGCACCATAGGGATCCTCAGGGACACATCAGGCCCAACATCTGCAGCTCTCTCAAAGACAGCAAGGAAGAAGGGAGGGTTCGAAGCAACATCAAAATAGTGAGGCACACCAGTATTTGTCCAGCTGACACCAAGGGGTCCTCCTTATCCCCAAGAATGTGGGAAGAAGACAAAGGCTTTGTTAGGAACATGAGGAGTGATCTTCATCTGCAATAGGAAGGATTAGTAATAGATGGAAAGCACTTCCTAAGTATAAAAGACAAGCAGCGGGTGTCACAATACTGATCCTGCTATAGATGGAGGCATTTGAAGATCATTCTTAATGATTGGTGCACGGAAATTCTAAAGTTTAAGCCTTTTGAAATTAGTTAATTCAATAATACACAGTCAGAGAGACATCATGGGCTTCTGAAATGGGAAGGAGGTGTCACTTACACAGCAGGTTTCCTCCTTCACTTAATCAGAAGTCATTCTTCATTTCTGTGTCCCCTTGTTACTAGAATATTTTTCGAGAAATCCTACTGTCCATTTTGAAGTTGAATTGTATTTTCCCACTTAAGAATAAATAAAAATACAGAAATGTAAGATGTATGCATATATTCTCCTCTGACTGCTGTTCATTTACTTAGAAATGTGCTTGCACGTGGAAGCACCAGTGGGAAATTAAAACATACACACCCACCCCAATACTGTATTCTACCTAATGTCTTACAAAACATTTTACTTTACAGGGAAGTACCTGCTTGTAGAGTCAACACTCCCTAATAGCAGCTGCAAATTTGCCCCCATGCAGGGTTGGAGTTCTTGAAACACAATCCTAGAAAAATGTGGTGCTGGATTCCCCCCAGTCCAGCTCCGATGGCAATGATATGACTTTATGTGGAAGTTCGTTAAAGACTTCCTTCCAAATTGAAGGACAACCTAATAATACATTCTTGTAACAACTGATAAATTAGTTTCCTAATTATATTACTCGTTCTCTCATTTTCCATTTGAATCTTTCACTGATATGATCGTGATATTCCATCTCACTGGCCTTCTCCTGCTATAAACTTAGCAAATCTCCAAACAGGAAAAGGAGAACAAGACATTTGACTTTTCTTAGTGAACCTACGCTGTTTCCTAGGAATTATCACTATCTTTTGTATGCTCTCTCTCAAAACAGTCTAAAATATTGAGAAGGACTAAGATTAAGCTTACTTATCTGTAGTTTTACGAATCTGTATTTCCTCCATTTTGAAACTTAAAAAATAATTTATTCATCTCCAGTTTTGAGGTGTTCCCACAATTTCTCAAACATTAATGATCGGTATGATTCCATGTGAATTTATATATTTGCAAAGGAATTTAAAATGTCATTTAATCCAGTCTTTATAAGCAGCTACTATTTCAGATCATTGATGCTTAGAGCAAAATAAGTAATTTGCTGGGGGGAGGGACATGTCAGCAGACCAGGGGCACAGTATGGGCTCTGTTGAAGTCAGTTAGACCACAAATAGCAAACTAAGGTCAGCATTAACTAGCAATCTAACAGTCAGGAACAAGCAGCACTTGGGCTAGGTCAGGATTCTGCCTACCACAATGTCCTCAGGAAGGCATTATTTAACTGCCTAGGCAAACCCCAAAGGCCAGAGTTCCAATCTATTAAGGAGAAAGGACTTCAGGTAAAAGGTACATCACAACACAAAAACATTCAAAATGGCTGAATATCTGCAGTGCAAAAATCTTTAAGTAACTGAGAAAATGCCTTGACTTGTAAATGCCTAGGTAGACTTAACCTGACCTTCACATCTAACCTGAAGCTGCAAGCTCCAGCTATACAGCAATTAAACTGCCAGGTTCCTCATTTACCATGCCCAGCCATACACACATGTCACCAACAGGCTCCCAGAAGGCAGGTGGCACAAAGATGAACTTGGATGAGTCAGACAAGTTCCCGTGCACGGCTCCTTTCCTGGCTGTTGGAGGAGGCCAAGAATTACAGAGGCCTGCTAGGCCCGAGCTCTTCAGCCATGTGTTCCTGCTACCTTGAACTCAAATGACCAGTAAGGAATCAGTGCCCTAGCCAAAGCCAACCAGAAGTGACCAAAAGCTGCCTGTGAGGTGGCCCAACAGCAGAAAGCTGCCAAGCAGGCCCTGCTGGAGGAGCAGGCCCCTTCTGATGGGCAATACTAAACCTGTCATGTGTACATTTGAACTCACCATGTCCACTGGGGTAATCCTGGAGATACTTCTGCTGACTGAATGAAACTACTGCCAACCAGCTTCTTCCACCTAAGCCAGCCAAAGAACAAAGCCTAGGCTCCATCCTGGCTGGCTACACAGGCAGACCTGAGCCCAGGGTGGCTATACAGAGGATTCAGCTGAGAACCCTCCAAAGGCCCATACACCCAGATGTGGAAGGGTGGACACCACGCTGAAACACCAATGGAGTAGGGGACTAGAAACCCCCCACCCTAGAGATTCTAAGCAATAACCCCACAATTTTCATATTTGTGTCCACACTCCATGCCAATTCAACAAACATTTATGGAGCAGGCCCTATTATGGCCAATGAATGAAGATAAGGTAACTACCCTCCAAGAGATCACCCTTTAGGGAGTTAAGAGAGACAAACACACAGATGACCAAAACTAAGAGGTATATAAAGTGCCACAGAAATGCAGAGGAGAAATCTTCCTCCTCTTAGCAGGCTAGGGGAAAAATGAAAGAAGGAGATGGCCTTTGAACCAAGCCCTGAAGGACATGTCTGATTTTAACAGGTAAAGACAGAGGACAAGAATAGACATCCTAGGCTGATAACAGTGACATTAAAACAGACAATACATGCCAGTCATCTGTTCCAATTCTCTGGTACATGGGGGGAGAAGGAGACATAGAAGGAAACAAGACTGTGAGCTGAAGGACAAGAAACAGGATGTCTTGTCTATATATCACCTTCCACCTGGCACACAGTAGATGTTCCAAGTGTGTTACATGAATGCTAGCCTGGGGCCACTTGAGGGCCACTGTGACACGGGTGACAGCTTCAGAAGATAACATCACTTGAGAGGGCATCACTCAGGAAGTTGGCAGAGGGGACAAGATATGGGCAACTGCTGTTCTCTGGCCATGGCAGAACCCAAACTGGGACAGTTGGCTGGTGTCTTAATTTGCTAGTGCTGCTGTAACAGAAATACCATAAGTGTGTGTCTTTAATGAACAGAAATTTATTTTTCTCATAGTTCAGGAAGCTAAAAGTATGAATTCAGGGCACCAGCTCTAGGGGAAGGCTTGCTCTCTCTGTCAGCTCTGCAGAAAATCCTTGTCTTAGCCTCTCTAGCTCTGGAAATCCTCAGGTTCCTTAAAGATCCCCATATGGCATCTATCTTTCCCATTTGTGCTTGCTTGTCTCCATACCTAATCTGATCTTTTTACATCTCAAAAGTCATTAGGTTTAAAACACACCCATACTGATATAGTCATTAACATAACAAACAAACACCCATTTCCAAATAAGACTACATCCACAGGTATAAGGGTTAGGATTCCGACACAATTCTATCAACAGCTGGCCAAAGGGAAGTAGCAACTCTAAAAACATTCCAAACATATAATCAATCAACAGGACTTGGCACATAACCTACTTCAATAAACTTAGACATGTGATTAAACAATTTCAAGATGCAAAGTGCTACAGAAAACATGGCCTTAGATGGGGCAGAGGATAACCCCTGGAGGGAGCAACTAAGCCTTGACAATTAGGCACAAGATTGCCTCAATAAATGTGTGGGCTTGAATTCATTATCTTGCCCGCAAATTACCCAGGACCTGACTCTGCACCTCCTCCCTTTAGCTACACTGGCTATCCCACACTGGCTGACATTTATTGGGCCCCCAGTAAATACCTGACAAATGAATGAAATGAATTCAGTGTTAAAGAGCAGAAATACAAAATTCAAGCAGTGCTGGCATCTCAGGTAAAAAGTTTGACAAGGAAAGCAGGCACAACTGAGGCTGAGGTGAGGTGCACACGAAAGGCTAATACAGATCTTCCCAGGGTTGCCTGGTAACTTCATAGACTGATGTGGCTGGAATCCAGGGTTTTGGGGCTGTAGCCTGAGGTGAGGGTGTGCAGTTTTTTGTTTTTTTTAACTGAATACGTAACTATCAGACAAAGATCTGGGAGGCATATGCTACCAAACATTAATGTAAATAGGTTACTGGAACAATTTCGATTTGGAGCTTTTCTATTTCTATAGACATCATTTATCTGTCTACTAACTGTCCACTTTATCCAGGTACTTACAGGAGAGGCACTGAATCCTAAACATAGGACCAATACAAACCTTACATTATTATCTCTGTTTCCCATACAGGATCTAAAGACTAACTAGATTCACATCACACTACACCAGAACTAGGTGGCAATAAAAAGAGTGGAAGAGCACTGGAATAGGGTTCACACAGTTTCGGTTCTGGACCATCCATTCAACAGAAGACACAAAGCCACAGGTTATCACACCAGCCCTACCCACTTAATCAGGCTACTGTGACGCTCAAATGACATCATTTATACAAAATAACTTTATAAAGTAAAGCATTAACAAATATAAAGAAGTATGATTAGCGGAGAAAAGGAATTTGATAACTACTTTCTAAGAAAAAGAAAAAAGAGAGAAAAAGCCAGCAAGACCAAGAAAACTCCACTACAGGCCACAGATAACTCCATTTGACTTCCGTCCAGGTACTATAATTAAGACAATTAACTTGATTGGTTACAGTAAATCCCCTCAGGTTAAACGACTCCTCCACTAAAAGCACCACACCCGCCGCTTAATAACCAAGTGGGGCCACGACCTCACTAAGTAACAGCTAAATAACCACACCCACAACTTAAAAAGCAGGATCCTCCAGACCTAGAATCCATCCCTCTTTGGTCTGTTTCTCCTCTCTGGCGAGTACACTCAGCGGCCGGCGCGCGGCAAACTAAGAAACTCCTTGGAGCGAAATTTCAAAGCATTTTACAAACGAGCTTTCCGTTGTGACAAGAAGACAGGCCTCTCGGCAGCCCCAGAACTCGACCATTTTCCACTTCCTCATAAAGATGCCACAAAGAAAGTCCTTTCTACCCCTCTCCCCAAACATCAGAAACTACGAGGCTCCACTCCGCAAACTGTTACCGACCTATCAAGGAATCCTTAGAAAGCTCAACTTTTGAGAAGCTTGCCCCCAACCGACTCCACATCTAAAGAGCCTTTAAGGAGCGAGGGAAGAAGAGGGTCTAACCACCGGCAAGTGCGCACCCTTTCCCTTTCACACAGCCCCCGTCCTGCCAGGAACTAGACGCGCCTCGGCAGTGCCCAGAGGGCGCAACACGAGCCCATCACGCCACGGGCAGGCGCCCCGCGCCGGGAGCTGCTCACCCTCACGTGGTTCTCCACAGCCGCGCGGCCCGCTAGTTTCTTGGCCTCCTCCGCCTTGGACATCGTGGAGGGGGCCGGAAAGACGCGGCTGGCACTCCCACCACTGGTGCTTGTACTGCTGCTGCCGCCGAAGGACCCAGACTGCACGCACCCAGGAGGCTGCACGTGGTAGCCCGGGGCGGCCCAACTGTTGCAGCCTCCGCCGGAGGCCGCGCCCCCGGCCCGCCCGGGGAGCGGGGCCAGGACCCGCCCGTAGAGGGTGCTGAAGGGTCCCGGGCGCTGCATCCTGCTGCCGCGCTCCAGCCTCCTCCGCGGTCCCGCCCACGGCCCGCCCGGAAGTTTGGTCGCTTACGCACGCAACCCGCGTCCGCTGTTGCGCGGTTCTCGCTGGGAAATGTAGTTCTATGGCTCCGGCGGTCCGAAGCTGCGCCCCGGCCTGGACTACCTGCCCCACAATGCTCCGCGACCGGCTGAACAAATCTTCGGCGACAACCTCGCGCGTCCACAAGTATGGTGCGAGTAGCCACGAGCCGGTCCTGGGAGCGTCGGCCTACTTTGGGGGAAGTGGATGAATCGCAAGGATTTTTCTGTCAGCCCACGTATGCTAGAAAGAGGTGTTGGACCCGACCTTGTTGTTTTTCCCAGCAATGAAAAAACCTGGCCATGGACCAGACCTCAGGGCGGTGGCTTTTTTGGAGACGTCGCGACAACTACGCGACGGTACCCCCTTCCCCAAAAAAAATAAAAAAGCACTCCCGTCGAGTCCATTCACAGTGACCCATAGAGTTCCCAAGGCTGTAAATCTCTACGGAAGCGGACTGCCACATCTTTCACCTACGGAGTCGCTAGTGGTTTCAAACTGGCGGAGGTTTCAACCCGCCGGCCTTTCGGTTAGCAGTCGATCGCTTTAACCTCTGCGCCACCAGGGCTCCTCAATGGTAGTTGGGGGTGAGTAGACTCACTCTCCATGGAAACTTACATGCGAGCTCCCTTGTCCATCCTTAGATTCCAGGACCATAAATTTTAAACCCATTGCCTTACACGTTCTGCACTTGGCGGTGTTGGACGGCGTGCATTGTCCAGATCGAGCTTGGCTCCACACATAGCGGCCCCTGCAATTCTTGATGATTAACAAGGACTTTAAGTGAACTTGGGGGTTCTGGTGGCGCAGTGGTTAATCGCTGGACTGCTTACCTAAAGATCGGTTTCTCTGCGGGAGAAAGATGGGGCAGTCTTGGCAGTTCTAGTCTGCCCTGTAGGGTCGCTTTGAGTCAGAATTGAGTCCACGGCTACGGGTTTCACTGAACCTAACAGCTTTCTCTTTTATTCTCTACCGTTAGGTTTCTTGCTTTAGAAAATAGTAGTATCTCAGTTTTACAGACAAACTAATGCTGACCACAGCCATACCGACCTTTTGGAAGTTCTTAAAATTACGAGGCCTTTGTGCTTCTCGTCCATACTAGTTGACTCCCTCTAAGACAGGGCTAGAGTCATAGAGCCGTTTTTCTTAGCCTCAAGATAGCCCCTCACCTAGCCCATTTCCTAGAGTTTTTTCTTTTTCTCCTAAGATCCTTTTTAAAGACAAACAGCCAAGGGCTAGCCGGAATGGGCAGAAACAGGTCCTGCCCTCTGTCTTGGCATTCCAGATGACCTCTAGCTCATTAACTGCTTCATGCACGGTAAATATTCCACCCCTGGGTGGAGAGCTCACATGTTAAGGAACAAACATGACTAAGTTCCTCCTGCGAGGGGAATCAAACCGGGCCTTAAAAATGCTTACTCATTCTAAAGTGTTCCACACCTGGGCCCGCCATTTTGTGTTCTGAAATTGATCCTGCCTATATAAACATCCTCAACAAGCTGCCTTCGAGGCAATCTTGGGTGCCATGCAGCTCTGTCTCCTTGCTTGGCCAACCAATAAAGTTGCATTTTGTTCTCCCCAACTCTGTCTTTTTGGCCCTGGAGGGAGTTGCTCCAAGTAGAACCTGGAGTTCCCAGTAGCACCTCCTGTCAGGCCATGAACTTATCCCCTTCAAACTCACTCCCCCACCCGCTTCTGTTGCAAGGTCCCCAGTATGACTGCTGTTATAGCCTTCATCCTGGATTCTCTTTTCTGGCTGCAGACCCCTGAGACTATTAGTTTCTGGACCTCCACCTTGGTATGCAGGAGGAAAAGTTATTTGAGGTCATATTTGAATCCTAGGTTTTAGGCAGAATTCAGAAATTAGCACAAAGTTCTAGCTAAGATGTAGGACATGATATCTGGACTCTGCTATTAATGGTCTCTGCACAGGGGAAGGCCACCCTAGCCAAACTTGTAACCTTTTCTGCATTGCTATGGGAAGATTCTTTCTCCTGTTCAGCTTCCCTAGATCCTTAGTACCCACTACTAAAAGGTTCATGGATCAAGTGTTAGTGGCCAGTCTCTGCTTTACTCCTCCAGCCTCAAGGGCTTTGCACTTAAATGCTCTGCCTGTACACACTCCTCTTCCCATCTTTCTACTGCCATCTTCTTGTCCTTCAGACTCATCTGAAATGCCATTTCCTCAGAGAAGTCTTCTTGACTACCCCATCTAATTTAGGTATCTCACTCACTAAGCCTTTAGCACTTTAAAAAAAAAAAAAAAACCAACCCCATTGCTGTCGAGTGGATTCCAACTCTTGTCATTTTACCCATTCTTTATCTATACCATAGAACTTTCCTTGATTGTATACTTGCTTGTGTACTTGTTTATCATCTATCCCCCTCTCTAGAAAATATTTTTCTTCTAGTTCAGTGAGTAGTGACTAGGGTCTTAAAAGCTTGCGAGCAGCCACCTACGATACAACAATTGGCATCTCTTTGCCTGGAGCAACAGAGGAAGGAGACCCAGGCATCTGAGAAGGAAATGGATTGCATGTCCTTTGTGATGAGACCAGAAGAAATGGATAATGCCCAGCTGCCATTACTGAGCATTTTGATCAAGGAGCCAATAGTTGAATCTTGATCAAAAGGAAGAAAAACGTGAAACAGAATTTCACATTATTATTGGAAACCAGACTCACTGTATACATAGAGACTGGAAGGACCCCTGAATCTGTAGCCTGAAAACAAGCCTTGAAGCAAAACTATTCCATGAAGTCATCTTTAAACAGCAATTGAGGTCATTTAAAGAATGTTCACCTTGAGCGCTGTGCTCTTTTAAAGAAATACCTATATGAGATTAATGGGCAACAGTAACTCTAAGGCACAGACAAGAGCTTTAAGAGGCAGAGAGTCTAAGTTAACGGTGGGATAATACAGGCCGAGATAGGGAGAGTGGTGACACAATGTGAAGTACGTAACCATTGTCAGTGAACTATACATGTACATGTTGAATGGGTGTATGTTTTACTCTGTATATTTTCACAAAATTTTTTTTTTAAAGTGTTTCTGAGGAAAGTGACTTTGCTTCTTCCCTACAGCATTCTTCATTCCTGGAACAGTGCCCAACATGTAGATGATCCTCAACGAATACCAAAGGCATGATTGAATAACGAATAGATTTCATGCCTTAAACCCACAGTCCACTTTCAGCCATACAGAATTTCAGTCTCTGCACACACACTGTGCCCTTCTAATTCTCAGATGTTCTCCATTACTCCACTCAGTAACTTCTTACTCTGCAAACCTGAACCCCTCCCCTAGTTGGGTTGGCTGCTCTTTAGAACCTTGTACCACCCTCTATTATAGTCCGTCTTGCTCTATTCACTTGACTGTCTTATTCAAAAGACTACAAGCCCCTTGATGGCAGAGACTATCTTCCCCAGAAAATGCATATACCTGGCTTAATACTTTGGGACTGATCAGTGTTCTACAAAGGTCTGCCTGTCTATGCCTCTTTTTCTTTCTTGTCTCATTTCTCCCCATCCCATGTACATTTCCCCATTCTTGCCCCCTTTTGATCCTTCTGCTCCTTAGGTCTGCCAATGATGCCCAGTGACTCTGAAGGCCATTCTGAAATCCCAGTGTTGGCTTTTGGGGCTGATGAATGCTGACTCTTAGAAAAATATAAGCACTGTGTTCCTATAACGCTTCATTTTCATATTTGTTGGTAACAGTGTTAGGCACCATGCTAAATACTTTGCAGACATTATCACATTTAATCTCAGCAAAGAAGTGGGTACTCTTATTCCATTGTACAGATGAGGCACAAGAAGTCCAGACCTACCCAAGGTCTTGCTGCTGGAAGGCAACTGAAGCTGGAATGCAAACCATCAGTGACCTGAGGACCAAACCTTGATCTAACAGAATCACCTAGATGGAGATTTATTAATTGCTCCATCCCCAGTTAAGCCCTAAACTTTGTACAAACCACACAAATCTTGCCTTTTCTCTTTAAAGGCACAGTAATAGTAATGAATAGGTTGTTGGTCTTGCAAAATTCTATCATGCGATCTCTGGTATGGTTTCTATTGCCAAGGCCATATTTTCCAACTACTGTTCCTTCTTTGTTCCCAACTTTAGCATTCAAATCACAAGTAATTATCAATGCATCTTAATTACATGTTTGATCAATTTCAGACTGCAGAAGTTGGTAAAAATCTTCAGTTTCTTCATCTTTGGCCTTAGTGGTTGGTGCATAAATTTGAATAATAGTAGTTTTAACTGGTCTTCCTTCCAGGTGTATGGATATTATCCTATCACTGACAGCATTGTACTTCAGGATAGAACTTGAAATGTTCTCTTCGACAATGAATGCAACGCCATCCCTCTTCAATTTGTCATTCCTAGCATAGTATACCGTATGATTGTTAGATTCAAAATGGCCAGTTCCAGTCCATTTCAGCTCACTAATGCCTCGGATATCAATGTTGATGCATTCCATTTCATTTTTGACAACTTCCAATTTTCCTAGATTCATACTCCGTACATTCCATGTACCGATTATGAATGGATGTTTGCAGCTGTTTCTTCTCATTTTGAGTCGTGCTACATCAGCATATGAAGGTCCCAAAATCTTGTCTCCATCCACATCATTAAAGTCTATGCTACTTTGAGGAGGCAGCTCCTCCCCAGTCATATTTTGAGTTCCTTCCAACCTGAGGGGCTCATCTGGCACTATCTCAGACAATGTCCCACTGCTATTCATAAGGTTTTCACTAGCTAATTTTTTCAGAAGTAGACTGCCAGGTCCTTTTTCCTAGTCTGTCTTAGTATGTAAGCTCAGCTTAAACCTGTCCACCATGGATGACCCTGCTGGTATTTGAAATACTGGTGGCATAGCATCTAGCATCACGGCAACACATAAGCCACTAGAGTATGACAA